CCCCCCCCTTAACAATCAGCCTCTTTAAATACCTTCATGCCAGAGTCGGATTCCCTTCCTAAGAGCCCCATTTTACCTCCTGCCCCCCCTCCCCCAAATTCCCACACAGGGCCAGTGTCCAGCCCCCCAGGCACAGAGAGACTCCCGCCCTGACCCTGGCTTGCCTTGGTGTCTGACACTGGGGGCCGGGGGGTGTGTAAACACGCCCGGGTATTCCGAGGTGACATTTTCTCCATGAGAAATGTCCATTTATTCTGCATGCTTATTTCTGAATGGGATGAGCTCTTCCACCCTCTCCAGCAGAGCACAACGCTACACACTCAGCCTGAAAGCCTGAAACGTCACAGATGACTGTCTTTGAGAGAAAAAAGGTAAAGGAGAGTGAAGTGGTGGAATAAAGGAGGGTGATGAGGGGGGAGGTGATTCTTTCTGCCAGCTGTGGGGCACAGCCGCCTGGGGGTCAGTGCCCATGTCTGGAAGCTTGTGGGTTTAAATCGTGCCGCCAGCAGTGACCACACCCCCATTGTTAACCCTGTCTGCCCCAGGGTCACGGGGTGCTGACTGACCCCAAGTTCTCATTGGATACGAGCATCTGCTAAATATGTAAATGTGACTCCTGGAGAGTCAGAGTCATCACAGTCACTGTGAGCAGCTGAGCACTGCAACCCTCCCCTGCAGGGTGGAGCAACGAATGTGGGGCAGCGGGTCCCTTGTCTGAACCCCTCCCACCCACTGCTTCCTGTCACACACTTCCTGTCTCCGCTCTGCAGTACGCCTGTCGCTGCGGCCCACTCTCCTGGCGGGGGCCTTTGTGGGGGGGTGACATGGCTTGATAATTAGACAGGAGCTGAGGTGGCTTCGCTAGCAAGCTGCCTGCGGAGTGACGCCCCCCCCCTTGGCAGTGCGATGCCCAGCTGACTAATTGCCTTCAGCTCAGAGATAATCAGACCCCCAGGTCAACGTAGGCGACCAGCAGCCAGCACACGGGGACCTGGTAGGCAGAGGCTACAGGGACACATGACGACACAGATGGCCGTCAGGTCCAGCTCAATGTCCGCAAAGAAAGATGGTGGAGCCGGTTGGCTGCGTTATTGATGTTCAGCTTCCGGAGGCCATGAGCAGATGGGGGGAGGGCCGCTCCATCACTGTCCGGGGCCCTCCATGTTTTTATAACCTCAGGAAAGCCGCAGTCACTGGATCCCCTTTCTCGTTTCGGCGCCTGTTCAGGACAGATCTCATAAACATCTGTACAAATATAATGGATTCATGGGAGCAGAACCACTAATCACACGTTCGGTGACCTGCCCCCCCCCCCACCCAAACCCAACCCACATGCTGAGGCACACTATACACACACGTGGACAGCAGCCTGTGTTGGACTGTGTGGACAGCAGCCTGTACTGGGCTGTGTGGACAGGAGCCTGTGCTGAGCTGTGTGATTTTTATAACTGGAGTCACTCATCTGCACGCCTGCCTACCTGCCTGCCTTGCCATCTGCTCATCAAACTCACTTGGATATGCTTTATAAAATTATGATTTACATTCACCATACAATAGATTAAAGCTCATCAAAGTCAAGTCAGCATAGTAGTAGTTAGTTATTTTTTTTTGTTGGAATTTCATTTGGAAAACTAGCATTACAGGGAGTCTGTGGTCGACTGTGTGAACGGAGCCTGTGTTGGACTGTGCCCGACACTCTGTGGATGGAGCCTGTGCTGGACTGTGTGGCCAGAGCTTGTGTTGGACTGTGCTGGACACTGTGGATGGAGTCTGTGTTGGACTGTGCTGCACACTATGTGTATGGAGCCTGTGCTGGACTGTGTGGACGAAGCCGGTGCTGGATATTGTGTGGACAGGAGCCTATACTGGATATTTTGTGGACAGGAGCCTGTGCCGGACTGTGCTGGGCACTGTGTGGTGGGAGCCTGTGCTGGACATTGTGTGGACAGCAGCCTGTGCTGAACTGTGCTGCACATTGTGTGGATTGGAGCCTTTGCTGGACATTGTGTGGACTGGAGCCTGTGCTGAACTGTGCTGGACATTGTGTGGACTGGAGCCTGTGCTGAACTGTGCTGGACATTGTGTGGATAGAGCTTGTGCTGCACTGTGCTGGACATTGTGTGGAGGGAGCCTATTCTGGACTGTATGAACAGGAACCTGTGCTGGACACTGAGTGGATGGAGCCTGTGCTGACTGTGTCGAAATGAGCCTATGCTGTACATTATGTGGACAGCAGCCTGTGCTAAACTGTGTGGGCATTGTGTGGATTGGAGCCTGTGCTGGACATTGTGTGAATTGGAGTCTGTTTTGCACTGTGCTGGACATTGTGTGGAGGTAGCCTATGCTAGACATTGTGTGGACAGGAGCTTGTACTGGATATTTTGTGGACTGGAGCCTGCGCTGGACTGTGCTGGACACTGTGTGGTGGGAGCCTGTACTGGACATTGTGCAGACAGAAGACTGTGCTGAACTGTGCTGGACATTGTGTGGACTGGAGCCTGTGCTGCACTGTGTTTGACATTGTGTGGAGGGAGCCTATGCTGGACTGTGTTGACAGGAACCAGTGCTGGACATTGTGTGGACAGAAGCCTGTGCTGGACTGTGCTGTACATTGTGTGGACAGGAGCCTATACTGCATATTGTGTGGACAGAAGACTGTGTTGGACATTGTGTGGATTGGAGTCTGTTTTGCACTGTGCTGGACATTGTGTGGAGGTAGACTATGCTGGACTGTGTGGACAAGAACCTGTGCTAGACATTGTGTGGACAGGGGCTTATACTGGATATTGTGTGGACTGGAGCCTGCGCTGGATTGTGCTGGACACTGTGTGGTGGGAGCCTGTGCTGGACATTGTGCAGACAGAAGACTGTGCTGAACTGTGCTGGACATTGTGTGGACTGGAGCATGTGCTGCACTGTGTTTGAAATTGTGTGGAGGGAGCCTATGCTGGACTGTGTTGACAGGAACCCGTGCTGGACATTGTGTGGACAGAAGCCTGTGCTGGACTGTGCTGTACACTGTATGGAGGGAGCCTGTGTTAGATTGTGTGGACAGGAGACTGTACTGAATTTTGCTGGACAGGAGCATGTGTTGGATCGTGTTGGATACAGTGTTGAGGGAGCCTGCGGAATTCCTGGGGAAAGTGCAGTTCCTGACAGGCTGATGGAGACTCCCCCCTGGTCTCAGTCTGACTCACTGTAATTGTGTGAGGTCACTGTGGGATGGGAATCAGCTTGATCAGGCAGTCTGCTTACCAACACACAAACTGGGAGGGGGGGTCTGTTACCAAGCCTCTTTTCTTAAAAGCAATGGAAAAATGGAAATCCTGTAATCCTGTTTAGGCATATAAAATATCCTATTTGAATCTGCCCCCCTCCCTATAGCCCAAAGGCCTAGTGGTGTGGGGGGGGGCAGCTTCTAGCCCTCATGATCACACGGAGCATCAGCAGGGACTGTGGCTTCCCATTAGCAGGAGGGCTGGGTCAGGCAGGAGGAGATGAGAGCTGAGGAGAGGACAGCAGAC